CTCATTCAATAAGGTCACACTGATCCTCTTCCACAACTGTACCTTCCCTCTCTATCCTCATTGCAAAATTTCCTTCTTACCAAAAAAACTCCTCCACCCCCCCATCTTGGGTAGTTTTTGTCACTTTTAGCTTGTGGTGTAATGACTGGAAACAAGAAAGTGGATCAAATATGAGTTTTTTTCTTTGCTGTCAGCTTGCGATTTCCTGTTGTTAACACATCCTACATCACAAAATAACTTCTGGCTTTGTTCTCTCCGTCTAACTTCCGCATCACATCAGCTACCTTCCATTACTATTTATCCTAAATAGGCAAATCTATCTGCTTGTTCCAGTGTAACATCCTTTGGGGGCTTGGTTAGCTCAGTTGGCTGGACAGCTGGTTTGCAATGCATTGTAACAGTGTGGGTTCAATTCCTGTACTGGCTGAGGCTATCATGAAGGTCTCTCCTTCTCAACCTCTCCCATTGCCTGCAGTATAGTGACCACCACCACCAGTCATCTCTCTAACGACAGCAATCCTATCATCTGATAAAACTATAGTGACTTTATCTTTACCAATACCCTCCACTTTAGTCTTCACCCTCATTCCTTCGAATGTATTCCTTTGATTTCCCATTGTTTTTGGCATTTTGATGTCCATACACAATGCATATTCTAAACTTCTAGATTTTAATTGATCAAAGATATTTTGTAGGGCCTCTACTGATTCTATAGGTATCAATGTGTCATCAGTGTTCTACACATTTGTTACATTCTAGCCTCCAATTTTTTACCTCAGAGATACATCTCTGTCTCTGAATATTTATGAAACCTGCAGGTTGAGTAAGTGTGATGACAGTACAGAGCCATGTTGTACAGCTCCCTTCACTTCAGACAGATCATATTGTCGCTCTTCTGACCTGATTCTCACTGTCTGGTTCCAATATAGGCTCTGGATCAATTTCACTTCCTTACTCTTCACTATCAATTTTACAGAGAAGCAACCCCACCTGAAGCTAAATTCTATCACTTTCCCAGCTGTCTCAGAAATATGGACAATAAGTAAAGATCTGTCAAAGAAAATTGAGGCCTTTGAAAAGTGGATCATTAAGTCATAGATGCAAAGACATTTGCTCAAAGTTCCTTATCAAGACCTTCAGACCAATGGAGAGATTCTTGAGATTGCAAGAGCAAAAAGAACTCCATTTGGTTAGAGCTGAAAAGTTATAAAGATCTCTTTGAAAAGGCAAAGCAGAAAGAGGGGTTAACCTCAGCACGATGTTGAATGATGGATGTCACAGTGCATTTGCTAACAAACTCCATTGGCTGTATGACAATGCTGCAAGAGTCTGCCATACACCTCCTGGCTGGTGCAGCTACAAATCGCTTTAGTTTAAGGGGGCAAATTGCTCTCTTGCTAAAAATAAAATCATTTGGGATGAATGTTTCAGAAATTGGAAGAAATGTAGGAATAGGAATTGGCCCTTCAATTCCTTGACTGCTCCATCTTTCAACTAGAGCCTGACTGATTTGCATGTCAATTCTATCGACTATCATCAGCCATCCCTCAATTTGGGGATGTTGCCTGCTCAGAAGGTGCGAGATTCTGCCTTGGCAGTTCCCGTGACTGAACGGACTGAGTCTCATCTTTCAGACCTTTGGGCTTTGTGGTGTTAAGGGTTAATGTTAATATGTGAATAAAGTAGTCCACATCATCAGTGTCTTAAGATCTCAAGACTCCCAGAATTATGGGGAAATGGCTCCAGGTAGAAACTTTGTGCAAAGTCTTGTCTTGTGCATATTTAAAAGACAGACTTCAATAAAAAGTCAGGTTTACTGGAAGCCAAGCCTCCAAAACTCTCTATCAACCCTGATCCCGAATATGACTCAGCAGTAATAACAGATGGTGCTAACAGACATATGGGGCAGGATATCCTATAAGGTATGGGAATGCAGAGTGTGGGATCTGCTTCCTTTCTCTGCTGTCGCTTCATGTCATCATTAAGACACTGAGTAGCTGAAAACATCACCCAGTTTCGAGGACTAGCCATCACCCCTTTATTGAATGATTGGCATTCAGCTCCTCCCAGGCAGTAACATCAGGGGGCTGCTGCACTTCAAGGAGCGATTCAGAGTGTTGCTGTGTCATTTCTTTTCTGTCCTCCCTGAAATACTGCCCATTTGGGAGTTGGGAATCAGGATCTGGCTGGAGAACCACTTGGCAGCCATCTGGTGTCTCAGTTGATTTTGCAAGTAAGGGTCACCGGACCCGAAACGTTAACTCTAATTTTGTTCTTCACGGACGCTGCCAGACCTGCTGAGCTTTTCCAGCAACTTCTGTTTTTGTTCTTGATTTTGCAAGAGTTTTCCATGAATGCTTGTCGAGTTGCCTTCAAGAAGGACCCTAACGTTTGTTCGATGGGTCCTCCCGTTGAATCTGGAGGGTGCGACAGAGTTATTGTTTGTAGAATTTCTCTAGTGTCCTTATACATTGCTGTCATACAGGCCAATTCTCACTGTGGTACAGGAGTGTGGTGACAACACTGCTCTGTGGTTGTGGACTTGGAGAGGTCTTTGTTATCAAATAATCATCGTGTCATTTCAGGTGCCTTAACAGCCTTACAGCACAAAAATCTATCAACCTTAGGTGGGAAATTTTCAACTGATCCTCAGATTGAACAGCCAGTGAGTCTAGATAAGCTTCTCCCTGCCCTTTGTATTGGGAATTATTTCCTGAAACTCACCTCAGAATGAATTGGATCTTGTGTCCTCTTGTTCAGAACTCATCCCACCAGAGGAAACAGCTTGACTCCATCTTTGCCCTATCGAATCCTTTAATCATCAATAAGATCACCAAGAAAAATCTGTAAGGGTTAATAATCTAATATCTCTTGTGGGGCCTGTATAAGTGGATGACTGGCTAATGCAAATCACATTCAATGTAAATTGCATAAGGCTTGGGGGATTTCCATTGAAGGTTCGAGTTAATCTGCTGCTGAACTATGAGTGTCCTGAAAAGCAATAAACAGAACAAGGAGGTTTCTGATTAGCAGTTTACAGTGAGAGAAGGCACATTATCAAACGAACTGAAGGTCAGCGGCAATTAGAAAGGTACTGTATGTGATTGACTATATAAGCAAACAGTCAGTGAACTGCTCAACTGGGAATGTATTCAGTCACTTAATAAAGACCGCACTATCGTGTCGGGCATAAGGTCAAGTAGTATCGTTTTAGGTCCATAAAATTAGATTACAAGGCATGTGGTTTTGCTTCGAAAACCAAGCACTATAGTGCACTGTTTTGTTGCTATATATCTTTGCATGCCTGTAATGACCCCTGTGCACCATCACAAAACACAATAGCTCCACATTCCAAACATACACTCTTATTTAGACCTAGTCATAGAATCCCTACAGTGTGGAAGCAGGCCGTTCAGCCCATTGAGTCCACACCAACCCTACGAAGAGCATCCCACCCAGGCTCAACCTTTACCCTATCTGTGTAATCCTGCATTTCTCATGGCCAATCCACCTAACCCGTACACCTGACTGTGGGAGGACACCAGAGCACCCGGAGGAAACCCACGCAGGCACGGGGAGAACGTGCAAGTGCCACGCAGACAGTCACCCGAGGGTGGTATCGAACCTGGATCCCTGAAGCTGTGAGGGAGCAAAGCTAATCAGCAAGCCACAGTGCCACCACATTGTCGCATCATATTGTCACGTTTACTGTTAGTAAAGATGGGGAGAGGCAGCCTTTCTAATACGGCTGGCTTAACTAATACCAAAAAGCAAATGGTATTTAAATAGGTGAAAGGTGCTTCAAAGTAATCCATCTCCAGATCCAAGCACACCCTGATATACTTATGGATATCTGTAAGGACATAGTTAACTGACCACAACTCTTCTAAATTCTTTGGGGGATAAACAAAACTCAAGCAATTAAAGACCAATTATAAACTCTTATGAGCATCTTGGAAGGTCCAAGAGATTATAGTAGTTATGTTAATGAACATTTAAAAATGTATAGGCTAATCAACTTGGGGAGGTTGCGCAC